ACAGTCTCCAAACCTTAAAGTACCCCGCCTAAAGCCTGCTTACTAACAGCAACAGACGGCAAAGTAGTACAGCTTCGTAAAAAGATAGCGAAACACAGTTTCTCAGCAATGATCAGCTTCAGCAGCATGACTGATGCTGCCAAGTCCAGCCAAAGTGTGAAAAGCACCTCATCTACTACCCGGTTTAAATCCATCATAACCAAACCCGATCATCCGCCACTACAAACCAGTGTCACAACAACCTCTAAGCAAAAAATGAACTTCGGTTCAACAATACGGGGCCCAAAACCTTGCCCCGACAACCGCAAACTAAGCCCGATCGCGCATAGCTACGAGCGCCGTGATGACATCGAGGCCGTTGCAGCACCTAGCACAAACCATTCTGACGTTAGCATGCTTAATATCAACCTGCTAGCTAACGACGCATTACTTGAGAACCCCATCAAACCCTTCCTTACCAAGCAGGCAGTCAATAATAGGCGAAATTGGGCAGGATCTTAACCAGACACTCCAAGTGGGAACCGATGTATGGAGCGGAGAGTGCAGCACCAGCTCACAATCCAAACCTTAGTACCACCCGCAGATATACCAGATTGCTAATAAATAACTAAGGCGAACCCCATACAACAGCAAGGTACCAACGTTATCTACACCCAGGCTTCCCAAACGTAAATGCATAACTCAACACCCAGGTCCAAACATGTTCTACGTTCAGCAGTCGAGCAAATAACTGCTCAACCACCATCTGCCCCGAGAAGGCTGGTAGCACTGAACATCCCCGATAATATCTCCGTGACATAGACCATGCACACAATAAGAAAACACTACAAACTCCTTGTTTCATTGCTCACATGAACCCGGCTAGCGCGGTGTCCGCTCCAATACCCGCACATATTGCAGCTAAGACACAAGGAAACTCTTACAAACAAAAACAAACCTCCTGCACGAAGTACACCAGACGTAACGCTCCGCTTTCACTGCTCCGTAGAAAAGGACCAGGGGCACCGAAAAAATGCCAGAAATCCTCCGCCGAAACTCAGCAACACACAGGCAACCGCAGGCCAAGTTTGCATAGGAACTCCACGAAAGCACTTTCGCTTGAGTATTTCTTTTGATCGGTGGCCCCTCAGCCGCCATCATCCCCCATAAAGTCAAATGAGCCTACTCAACCAACTTTACGCAAATAGCCTAAAGACCACGGATCACTCCATTTCTCATTGCGACACCATGGACACAATACCACGCCATTTTCTCCTTATTTAATGAAATTGTAAATGAAACGCCAAAGGGGCACAGCATCAACAGTCCTTTTAATATCGGTTCCCCACTGCACAAGATGGGTACTCTTCTGACTATTAAGTACCTTAGCCCTTCACAATTTATCCTACTTACTAAAACCTGGTTAAGCTTGACCACTCAGTCCACCACATACAAGCTGGCCGGTTACAACATATGTAGCTGCTTTCGGACCGCAAACCATGGATGAGTGTCTCCTTTACGCCAAAGACGACAATCGCACCTGCCTAATCATTGACCCCAAGCTCGCGGAAGGCACGGACACAACATTCGCCTGTTCGCAGATCAAGCGACCAGGATGTACCTTCGCCTGCGTCCACAACCAACCCAAGACCAACGCAACAACGCTAAACTGACTACTCTACACGTTCTTCGACAATGCTGAGTATCCTAAAAACGACAAAGTCCTAGGTGGTGCTGTTAACATGCCCAAGGCTTCTAGAGATGTTTCCTCCTCAGGTAAAAAGTACGGCAAATTTGCATAGAACATCCCTTCCCATGGCTAGGCCGCGCACGTTCATTCACCCACCAGAGAAGTCCACCTCCTCGGTTTAGATTTCACGCAGGGAGTCCAAGATGCACCATCTGTAGTACTTGGAAACTTCAGTGATAGTCACCCCAATGTGGTCATATTTCATGTAAGCAGGTCACGTCAGGAACAACGGTAATTGAAGCGGATCGAGGCACTTAGAAGTTGGACTAACTCTACTTGCTTCTGCAAAAGAATAAAGCAAGAACCAGAGCAATTGTAGCACGTTCATGTGCCCGCATCAAAATACACTACATATTCCAGTACAAGTAGAGTATTTCTGAAAAGTTCGGAGCAACACTCATCTAAGCCACTTTTGAAGGGCTCTACAGATTTAAATTCCACTAACTAAAAAGGTAGTTAATTGCAGACGTTAACTATAATGCCTACGTTAAGCTGCGTTAGCACGTCTAACGTTCCTAATCAGAACCGTGAATATAGTTACGTGGCAGGAAGAATTTCTGCATTTTTCCTAAGAACCTTCCCTATGGGCAGCTTCTTTCTACTTGCTGGTCTCCAACTCACCGCCAATGTGTGTTGTGGAAACATCAAATCCGGTCCAGACATAGTTTGCCCACTGAAATCTAAAGCTAACGTTCACCACACAATGTGGGCAGCCGGCCGTCCATAGTTGCGCAAAAGCTAAACTCGGTAAGCAAACAGCATGAAACGACAAACGACTTCCTATGGATTCTGCGACAACAACAGGTCGTGGCTAAGCACTACGTCTCGCTCTATTCAAAGCAACTAGCCGAAGGTAAGAATGCACTCCCTATCAGCAACAAGCAAAAAACTGATTGGTCTGATGAAGCAACGAAATCCCGCCATAAATGAGATAAGCTACGTCACGCTCCCAAACGGCTTAGTACTTCATGCCCCAACCTCCGTTGCACAGACACTAAACGATCAGTTCTGCTCAGCATTCAATGCATCCAACGACTTTTGCTCAGCTTTCTAATGCCCCTGACTTCTGAACGGCTCTCGGATATTGCTTTATCATTTCCAGAAATGGGTATGTAAATGGTAACCATGAAACGATGCAACTACGAAGTACCTGACGCCATTTTCTCCATCGTAAATAAATAAATAAAATAAATAATTAAATAATGGTTTATTCTCGTCTAAGCGAGACATGCCTGCACAGACATGATCATGTTAAGAGTACAAAATGTGACCAGTTAACGTACAATGGAACCATGGAATTGTCGCATTTGTAGATATATGCATGTAGGTAAGTGTGCATGGGGGTTTGTGTAGTTGCGTTTATGAAATTTGTAAACGTTGTTCTGCCATTTGGTCTTGTTAAGACGTGTCACCAGTGCTAAATAGATGCCTGATGGCTGTGAAATTGAAGCTGCTGACCGGATAACCCATGGGTGACTTTATTTTGTGGCGTGTCACGACCGCCACGTCGCAGTGTTGTTATGCAGACATTTGTGGCTTTTTGTAGGGAGAACGCTTGCCAAGCGAAAACCCACCACGTCCTGGAACATGTTGGGTCCCGGCTGTGCAATTCCTACTGTTACATCTCTTCAAACCCGCCTTGAAAGTTTGTGACGTACCCACACATTAGCGAACCGACACTGTAGTACCTCAACACAAGGCAAAGCCCAAACATGACATCAAGAATTATCAGCCCAACTGCCACACTTCCTTCAGCTACGATAGACTAATCGCCCCATATGTGGTTGCTTACTTAAGAGCTCGAGGTGTGATAATTAAACCATAACATGGATGCCTGAAAACACGTTCCTGTGTGTCATGCCATCTATCCTTCTTTAAAAATTTGATCCTGTCCTTAGAGTGTGGGAAATCGTATAGTCATCTTCCTCGACATGCAGACGACGTTTGACCTAGTACCGCACGGTACTTTTCAGAATAACGTAACCACTGTCTGGATGGCCGGCGCCCCGTTAGGCATGCTCAGGTCGTACCTGTTGAACCGTAACCAAGTAGTTAGCTTAAATAGCCACAGCTTCCAAGCTAGACTAGTATTGAGTGGAGATTTTCAAGGCAGTGTCATCTGCCCGTTACGCCGTTCAGCTACATAAACGACCTAGTTGACGTACTATGTTGTGGCATCCCTTATCGCGTCGCGAACTATCTAAACTTGCCTACGCTTACTTTCAAACTGATAGCAGTCAAACGGTGGACAAAATTCTTTTCGAGCTGAAAGCACTGAAGCTGTGGAACGCTCGCTGGGACATGTCTTTCTCAGCCGACAGTGCAGCGTTTATTGGTTGTGTTGCAAACTAGCCTCAGGGACCATTGTCCTCTGGGATGTACCACTACTGTGTAGCACTATGGTAAATGGCGTCAGCAGTACTATTCTGGCTCAGTTGACCTTACCGAGCACATCGCTAATACAGTAGATAAAGTCCGCCGTAGGATAGATTTGCTCTTTAAGGCCCTCAAGATGCAAGATTCCATAGTAGCTCTATACACCCAGTCAGCGCGTCCGCTTATAGACGACTGCGCACTAATCTACAGCATTGCGGAAAAGGGCGATCGCCGGCAAATCGTAAGGCTGCAGAGGTCATTTAAAAAACGAGAACTAGGTCTTATTTTGCAGCGCCCTATGAGCAATGCTACAAAGCATTTCAACTTGACCCGCTGCGGCTGAGAAGGATAAAACAGAATATCTGTACTCTATTCGATGTAATACACAAGCGAATCCACGCTCCAAGCCTGGAGGTAGGATTCAACCAATTGGTCACAGTAACCCAAACAGCGTTAATGTATTAAAAATAGAAGGAACCAGAACCCAGACTCGCAAGCAAGTTTACCTGGAAGTCTATGTAACATAATGGAACAGGTTGTAGTCCAAACATTTTGCGTGCAAATTACCTGAAGACTTGTGGAGAGATTCGCAGTTTCTAGACGTTAAATCGGCTATCAAGCCACCAAGACTGAATATCACCAAAGAAACGGCGTATGAAAACGGACTAGTATACTCCAGAGCTATTGCACTACCCAACATTACCTCACTTAACTGGCTTATACAGTTTCGTCTTACAGGTGTTTAAAGCAGTTAGTTCCATTCAGAAATTTGAAAAGCACGGTAAGAAGACGAAAACTGGTAGATGCATGCATTTACAGGTGTTTAGTCTTTTTATAAACTTTTCCGTTTCCATGCTACCAAGCAGCGGCATTACAACATTGGCGCCAATTTAAAATGGCGACCACAGGCAAAAACGCTTTAAAATATCAACCCACAGATTGGTTCATTAACTCATTTGCTATTAGTGCAAATTCGCAACGTCAACGTGATGCTTCGCACCAAGTCAGACAGGAAACCAGAGCCATGCGACTCGCGGCTGGATTAAGGACTAAATGGGATGAGTTTAATAATACTACGCGCCTGGCTGACAGGATTGACGCTATACGAGATGTGAAGGATATATTGGAACTAGTGAAGTCACAAGTGGATGACGAATTGAAGATGGTGCAATTAGGAAAAGATGCTCTTGAAGAGGAAATGAAAAATCTGCAGATTCCTAGAGACTGCGTGACAGAATCCTTGACTTTAAGAGATAAAAGGAGGGCTACAGACTTTGTAGAAGATTCCGCTGAAGTAGAGCTAAGGAAGGTAAGCCTTATTGTACGGGGTTTATGGTAAAGGAACGTGAACTTATTGATAAATCTACTAGAAGACTACAGCAGAAGATTGATGAAGCGTTTGAACAAATGCTGCTACTCAAAGAAGCACGAAACCAGCTACTTATAGATTTGCAGGATAAAAATGAAGCACTGGACATAGACATATCGCAGTACAAACTACGCCCCGATTGTCCGGGTGTCTCATTCAAGCCTAATGCCACTAGAATACCGGCTGGGTAAGCTTATAATGAGGTTTCTGTGACAAGCTTTGTAGTCATATATTACTTGCACTGTTCTCTTTCTGATATATTCAATGCAACTGAAAGGTCAAATCCCCGGTAGTACATCCATTCTTAAAACGCAGTTGCAGTGGGGAAACTAGTTAAAATCACAACGCTCCTATCATAATGCCCTAGTAAAGTGTGTAAGGTTTAGGGTGTACGGCCCCCTAACCTGCAGTGTCTTAGTCACGAAAAGTTTGCTTCCAATATTTTCGTATGCAACGCATTCTGGATCGTTTGGCGGTTGGAGCATGTAAGTATGACATGAGCTTCGCCCCATCGAAGTGTAAAGTACTCCTCAAGGATTGACTTTCACCTGCTCCCGTGTTCACTCTTAAAGGTGCACAACTTGAACAGGTAGATAGTTTCGTCTACCTTGGGAGCTGTGTTTCTGCTGACGGCACTATCAACAAAGAAGTTTCTCTTCGTAACGCTAAAACTCGATCAGCATTTGTCAATCTGAGGCACCTGTGGCCTCGTCGCGACGCATTATTCTCGCTAAAGGGCCGCGTTTACAGCGCATCAGTTCGCTCAATATTGTTGTATGGGTGCGAGTCCTGGCCGGTTCGCGTAAAAGATATGCGTCGTCTTTCTGCCTTTGATACAATGAACCTTTCCTACAATACCTTCCTGATGCTCTGGCCGTCGCAGAGGATAATAAACGGCGCCCCATCTGCTGCATCGAGCAGGGTGGATAGGGGTATGGATGCTACTGCTCAGGCCGTCCCGTCATCTTATACCCCTTCTTGCGCTTTTTCATCCTTATCGTCCCGCTCCAACTTTACTTATATCCCCATTTTCAATCCCCCAATTCTTGGCCCTTCCCCAGCTTACTTCAACAGTCGCTTGTCTTCTAATTTCAAATCACACAATCGCAGGGCCTTGCTCCAATCTAGTCGACAAGTCCATATTCAACCAAGCGGACAACCTCAGTTCATCCGTTTCCCTTTGGAGTCCTCGCATCCCGCTAAGACTGGCATGCCTTAAAGTGCGCACCTTGCTGCAGGTTGGCCAACAGGCAGCACTTGCCCACACACTAGAGACCCTGTCGATCGATATTTGCTGTTTATCAGAAACCCGCCTGCAAGATTCGAGCTCCGTGCTTACCCTGAGATCCCCTACAGGCGACACTGGCGGCACATTCTCATTGCGCTTGTCTGGCGATGATGCAGCTTCAAATACCAGTCAAGCTGGCGTCGGCATTGTTTTGAGTCCCCGGACTGAAGCAGCCCTGGTTGACTGGATCCCAGTAAACAGTAGGATGTGCGCCGTTAGATTAGCTGGTTCGTTCCGTGCTACGAAGTCGCGCGGGGACAAACGGTGCCTTATCGTCATTGCGGCTTACGCCCCTACAAACTGTAGCACTGACTTGGTAAAAGATGATTTCTATCAGAAACTGCACGAGCTCCTTCGTTACAGAAGAAACACGGATACTGTGGTGTTGCCTAGTGATCTAAACGCCCAAGTCGGGAAGTTGTCCTCTGATGAGCTTCATCTGGGTGGCCAACATGGTGTGGCATCCCGTAATGATAATGGTGAGCGATTGCTACAGCTGTGTGAAGATGCTCGCCTCTTTCTCGCGAGCACTAACTTCCGACACAGCACCCGCAGAAGTTTGCCTTGGCGGCCACCAGCCTCGGGCCAGCCATGGGCGCAAATCGATCATATCGCGATCAGTTATCGCTGGAGAGGCTGTGTCCAAAACTGTCGCTCGATTTGGAGCACGAGCGTGGATTCTGACCACGCACTTGTCTGTGCCGACCTCCTGGTGCGTTTCGGTGAACGTCCGCAACGTCGATGTGAACGGATTGACACCAGCCAGCTGGCGAAGCCAGATGTTCTGAATGTGTACCAAAGTGCGCTGACATCTGGGCTGAGCAGGCGCCCACTAAACACCGTTGAAGATCACTGGTCGCATATTCGTCAAGCGTTGCTGTTAGCAGGCATGTCTTCATGTGGCAAAGCAAATTGTCAAACCGGACATTGGGTCTCTACACAGTCTCTGGAACTTATGGATGCTCGCCGACGTATTCCGGCTGGAAACGAATACAATGAGGCTCGCAAAAATCTCAGGGCAAAACTACGTGCTAGCCTGAAGAAGGACCGCGAAATCTGGTGGTCTCATCGTGCCTCTGAGATGGAAACAGCCGCTGCCGTTGGTAATCATCGTAAGTTATTCTGTCTGATACGGGAAACAGGCAGCAGAAGACTTGGTGTTAGGGAGACCATACGCGACGAGAGTGGGCAGCCGATCCACAGCTTGTCAAAACGCTTGGAGCGTTGGGCTGAACACTTTGCAAGGCAATTTAACCAACCTGAGTTATCGCTTACTTCTTCGGGCATTGAGCGCCCTTCTCCCTGGACCGTCTCCTTGGATCCGCCAGCACGTGCATAAGTCGAACGTGAGATCAGGCTGTTGAAATTGCATAAAGCCGCAGGGGCAGATAGAATTCCCCCAGCCCTCTTCAAATTCGGGGGGCCTGCTCTAATAGATGATATACACGAGTTGCTAGTAAAACTTTGGGAGCAGGAGTCAGTCCCGACAGCCAGGAACCGCTCCGTCATTGTCCGAATATTCAAGGAAGGCTCTCGTTTGGAATGCGGCAATCATAGAGGGATCAGTCTGATTTCGATTGCCTCTAAATTGCTTGCCTGTATCATTCTCTACAGACTGACTGGCACTCGTGAAAGCCAGATTCGTGAAGAGCAAGCCGGATTTCGTCGAGGTCGCGGCTGCATTGACCAACTCTTTGCCTTGCGTCAATTGTTGGAGCACCGCCATGTTTATTGGCGACCCACCGCTGTCGTGTTTCTTGACATAAAAGGTGCCTTCGACTCAGTCGATCGATGTGCCCTTTGGGACTGTCTGTTGAGGAAAGGTGTGCCTGATAAATATGTAAACATTATCAAAGCGCTGTAGGCGCATAGTTCGGGTAGGGTGAGGGTTTATGACAAACTGTCGCCACCCTTCAGTATCACCAGCGGTGTGAGACAAAGATGCCCGCCGTCGCCTTTTCTCTTCAACTTCGCTATTGATGAAGTCATTGAAACAGCGTTCGCTGGACACGATCTAGAAGGTGTGGAGCTACTTCCTGGTGAGCGACTTCTTGACTTGGAGTATGCAGACGATATTGCCCTAATCTGTGACAGCTCCCAAACATGCCAAATAGCACTGGACCGATAAGCGCTGGCTGTCAATCGTTTTGGGCTATGCTTTGCTCCATCGAAATGCAAAGTACTTCTCCAAGATTGGCAGGGACCCAACCCTGCGCTAACGCTTGGTGGTGATCTGCTAGAACTCGTTCAGAAATTCAAGTACCTGGGCAGCTATATTAGCACCCGTGGGATTGAACATGAGGTTACGAACCGTATGGCAAAAGCTCGCGGTGCTTTTGCCAATCTCCGCCACCTGTGGCGCAGACGCGACATTACACTCGCCCTGAAGGGCAGAGTTTAGAACGCAGCCGTCCGTTCAACTCTCCTATACGGCTGCGAAACCTGGCCCATCAGGTCGACATACGTAAAGAGGCTCGTCACATTCGATGATCGTTGCCTTCGCAGCTTAGCTCATGTCTGGTGGGAGCACCGCGTGAGCAATGAGCTTGTACGGCGTCGCGTACTTGGTGCAGGAAGAGCGAGTGAACCGCTCACCACCGTTATATCACGCACCAGGCTCCGATGGCTGGGCCACGTGTTGCGCATGCCGGCACACCGACTCCCGCGACGTGCATTGTTTGCGCGTTGTGGGTGCGGTTGGAAGAGGAGGAGAGGCCAAGTGATGATTTGGTCGAGAGAAATGAAAACCCTCACTTCAAATTTGACGTCGGTTGGTGCATCGCGACTGCCTGGCTGGGCTCCTAAGGACGGTGAACACGTTTGGTTGGACACACTCGCTGATATGGCTAGGAGCCGGCCCCAATGGCGTTTGTGTTGTGAGTTCCTTTGTCCATCTCCCTCCTGCTTAGTATCCCCCTCCAATCATGATCTCACCTGATAGGTATAATATGGCTTTTTTACGGCAGCCAGCTGTTAGCTCTCCGGAACGATGTCCATCCGTTACTGGGGACTCAGCGGGCGTGCCACTGTTTGTTTTTCTTTTCTTGTCTTTTGCATTGCGGCACAATAGCTGAGGTGTTTTCCACCTCCGGCTGACGTGTAATGATGATGATGATGATAACGGTTGCTTACGGAGGATCGTTCGGGTTTAGTGGCAACATCGAGTTAATAGTAATGACTTTTGACGTCGCATCTTGGGGAATGCGAGTATTCCCTTCAACAAACTGGTTTTGTTGCACCAGTTATGAGGGCTCGGTCACGTCCTACGCATGGCACCTGAGCGTCTACCGCATCGCGTTCTATTAGCTCGTCAAGTACCTGGCTGGAGGCGATCACGTGGTGGTTAGCCTTCCACTTGGCGTCGGCACATGAAATCGCTGACGTTGTGTCTAGCCGCTGTGGATCCGTACGTCTTCCAGGATGAGGACTCGAAGATGAGGAGTGCCAACGGCTTAGCACGCTTGAAGACATGGGGAGCAACCGGAATCAGTGGAAGCTATGTTTACAGTATTGTATTGCTTCACATGTTTAATACTACAAACATTGAATATGATAAAAAGGAGGAAATTCGGCGTGTGTGAAAAAAGCTTCGGTTCTACTTTTTGTCAAAAGGTTTCATTCTTCCTGCGGCATATTAGCTGAAGTGTGTTGCTCATCTTCAACCATCATGCCAGGATGGTCATGACGCGATGACCGTTCCTTATCCGCTGACCACCATGGTTTTATGTTGGCTCTGTGTCGAGTTGCTATACTGCTGAGAGTACTAAATAAAAAAATAAAAAATAGATTAATACCACTACTACTACTGCTACTACGACTACTACTACTACTACTACTACATTTTCCTCTCAAATATGAACTAGATCTGGGAAAACTGAAAGCATTTTGAGGACGGGATAGTGA